TCAAGCTCATGGTTTCTAAACTTTTCTATGTTTTCCTAAATTCTCTCACACTTTTAAAATGTGTACCATTAAAAAAAATTTTAACAACATAAAGGATAAAACCAGTTCCTGAGTGAATATCAGGGGTATCTGATTCATTCTCAAATAAAATGCCTGAGATTTCTAATCTAGAAAGACTATGGTGTTCCCTCTAATTTCTAAGGTATAAGTATATGCACATATCAAACTAAATGCAAATAAATGCAAGTGAAATAAAAATACTTAAAAGTTGAAACAAAAGAAACTTAACAGAAGGAAAAATCTGACCATGCTTTGAAGTGAATAGTCTACAACTATGCTGTTCTGTTCACATATGGCTCCCAGATTTCAATTCAGCTAGCTAACATTTCCCAGTTGTCCCTGCCACATTGCAAGTTCTCCACAGTCAGGTGACTGTTGGGAGCCTTACCAAATGGTCCACACTGGCAGCCTTCCATGAGCAGTCTCATCGGACAGCACTGATTTGCTTTAGAAGGAAGACGAAAAATACATACATATATACATACATACATGTATACATATGTGTGTATGTACATATATAATTTTTATTGGGAAACTCCTCAATGGTTCTTTGCTGTTTTTTTGTTTTTGGTTTTATTCTAAAGGTCATTAGAAGGTTATGAAAGGAAAGACTTCCCAGTATTCTGTGTAACAAAAGTTTTAAAAATTACAAATGATATCTTGAAAAGAAGTGCAAGATATCTAGGAGGATTTGTTTTAATGACAATATGGAAAACTGCAAGGATTCAACAAGTCAGAAGGCAAATTGCAGCTCAAGAGAACAGCTAGTGGGAAATTCTCTGTGGCAAGAGAAAAACAAAAAAAGAAAGGCAAAAGACCTAATGTAATTATGGTCTTCACCCTTGTGACCAACAGAAAAACCATCAGAGGCAGTCAGATTTCTGACGGCTTAGGTCAGGAGCACTTTTTCAAAGATTAAGGCCACCTGAGTGGCTGGGCTGATAAGAGACACACCTTGCTTGTCCAAATGCCATGGACACAGCTTCAGCTTTAACAACCATGTAAGTGGAAGAAACAGTCAAGCACAGTAATCTTCACTCAGGAGAACTAATTAACATCATGGTCATTATAACTTCACTGATCCTGAAGGAGAACTTGAAAATATAAAGAAGTGCCTACTTTGCATTGAACCTGAGTGAAAACATTAGACTGAAGTAACTATTTCAATCCTTTATCAGAATACTCAATCCAAATAAGTCATTCTGCCTGTTTTAAGTTTCTTGTGTAACAGTTCTGAGTGAGGTAAAAATCTGGGGATACAGGAGGGAGGACTGACAGGACACGAACAGTCACATACAACTGAACTGCTCAAAAAGTCATTTTACAAAGGGCACCCTCTAGCTCTGGGTGTGTTCCAAGTAGAGTGAGGCGTGGAAGCAGCTCTGAGGAGGGGGCCAAGCTCTAAATACTGCACTCACTCACTTCTCTCTTCTGTCCTGTCTACAGTCAGGGGACAGGGAACACGGACATCATAGCATAGACTTGATGATGCTGTTCTTCTATTTTAAACTGCCACAGGCTCTTTCATCAAGACGGTAGTAGGAAAACCTCCTACCCAAGTATGTACTGGGCTTCCTGTGTGGGCCCCTGCAGGCTGCAGTGACCTTAAAGACAGGGAATCCTGAGAAAGCCTTCCTAGTGAATGATGACATCCAAGTCCTTTAGGTACGTAAGAGGAGAAGGGTTTAGGCAGAGTAACACAACACTGAGCACTGCCCAGAAGACAGAGCCTAGTGGTCTATACAGCAAACACAAGCAATTAGATATTGCAGACACTTACAATGTGAGGAGATAAAAAGAAAGGTACTGAAATATAACCAACTGAAATGATCAGGAACTCCAGCGTGTGCTCAGCAAAGTGATATCACAAACACACCCCTGGCTTCCATTTGGAAATTCAGAACACTTAAGAGAATGTATGTTCTATATTTTTAAACAACTATAAATATATAAATCTAATGTTTTTCGTTGTGAAGACTCTATACCTAGGGAGACATCCTCCCTCCTTCCCGGAACTCTTCTCTGATGGTGGACATGCACTGTAGACAGTGCTAGGCATCACAACAGTTTCTCTCAAGTATATCTTGTGCTTTGACCATGTGCTCCACCCCACCCATCTACCAGTCTACTTCCTTACCCAGCCTCCCTTCTGCTTCCAGTGTGTGTGCGTGTGTGTGTGTGTGTGTGTGTGTGTGTGTGTGTGTGTGTGTACACTTTTATGTAACCTACAACAAGTCTAGGATCTGCAAATGAAAGAAAACATGATATAACCTTTCTCAGATTGGTTTATTTTACTCAATATGATGAGCTCAAGTTGTAGCTATTTTCCTAGAAAATAGCAAATTTATACTTTTTTATGACTGAATAAAACTTCACTGTGCATATTACCATATTTTATTTATTTATCCTTCAATTTATGGACATCTAAACAGGTAGTGTTATAATAAACATGGATGTACAGCATATCTGTGGTGCACTGACCTAGAGTCTTATAGGTACAGATCCAGACGGAGTTGTGCAGTGGGTCATACAGTACTTAGCTCTGTGAGAAACCTGTGGAAGTGATCTCCATAGTCACTGGAACTGTCCATAGCTCCCCACTAGAATTTTTACCCACATTCTCACTAGAATTTGTCTTTAGCCACTACAGGGTGAGACGGCACTTCAGGGTAGTTCTAGCGTGCATTTCCCTGATTGCTAAGTATGAGATGGTTTTCTTATTATTAGCCATCTGTGCTTCATCTTCTGAAATAGACATCTCATTAGCTCGTGTATTGATAGAGGTGTTTGGTGTTGAATGTTGTTGAGTTCTCCATACACTCTGGCTGTTAACTCTCTGTGAGATGTCTAGCTAGGAAAGACCTCTCCTGGGTGCGGGTGTCTGCTCACTTGAATGCTTACTGTACAGCAGCTCCATCACCTCTTCTATCCCACTCAACAATTCCCAGGTTTTATTACCTGAGCTGTGGAGTTTAAAAAAAAAATCCTTATCTATGCCTATGATTGAATTGTTTTCCTGATACTTCCACGCAACGGCGTTTCAAGTCTCATATTAAGGTCTCTGACACACATCTGCAACTGAGTTTTGCAAAGAGTAAGAAGAATTTAGTTTCATTTCCCTACGTATGGAATCAGACTTACCAGCAATATTTGGAAATGCTTCCTGTTCTTCAATCTATGTTTTCTACATGGTTGTCAAACATGTAAAACCGCTTTAGGGGTTTAATGTTTGGGTGCTCTATTTCATGAATCTACGTATCTGTTTTGGGGCCAATACTACACTGTTTTTGTTATCACAGACCTGTAATATAACCTGAGACCAGGTGCCTGAATGTCTCTAACGCTGTTCTTTTTCTCAAAACTGTAACCTGGGGTTTTATGTGCTCTCGTGTGAATTTCAGCATTCCTTCCTATTTCCGTGAAGAATTTTGTTGTATTTTGATCTTCATTGTTTCTGAAGATCATTCTTGATAATATGGCCATTTTTCACTATACTGATACTGACAATCCATGAACATAGGGAGTGTTTTCTTCAATTTCCTTATTTGATATTTATGGTGGTTTGAATCAGAATGGCCACCACAGGGTCATATATTTGAATGTTTGGTCTGTGTGTTAATGTATGCACTCGTTTGAGAAGAAAGGAATCACAAGGAAGGCATCCCTCAGGCGAAGCAATACCAGCAATGGGTTTCCTGCACACACAAGTGTAAGACCAATGACCGTAGAAATAACATGGACAATTTGATTTTTAGTTCCATAACTCATTAACTTGTGTGACCCCAAGTTAGTCATGTTCCAATTAATGAAAGGGCAATAATATGATGTGTCATGCAAATTTCTTAAAAGAATTTGAAATAATAAATATAATACCCCTTGATACATGATATGCCTACTACACAACAGAATTCAACATCCTCATTATCCTATCATAATGTAGATTAGAGAAGAAAAATTACGAGTTCTATTGTAAGGAAGCTCAGATGCAGAGCTGGAAGAAGTAAAAGAGGAGCAGACACTTGCCTGTAATGCCAGCACTCAGGAGGCTAAGGCAGGTGTGATGGCAAGTTTGAGGTCAGCCTGTTTCCAACAACAAAATCCAACCAGAACAGAGAAGGAGAGAGAGAATAGCAGGAATTTGAACTAAGATTTTCAGAAATGTTTCAAAACAACCAACTCTTATTCATGTAAAATAAAGACAAACAAATCGACGTTATCAAAACTTACAAACAAATGCTAACATGTTAGAAATAGGTGCAGGAAGGAAGCTTAATGTGTACACACATATACGTGTCCATGTGTGAGCATGCACAGGTGTACCAGCACTTATGAGCATCATGGAATTTGTGTGGAGCTCAGAGGACAACTTAGAGGGAGTGTGCTCTCTTCTTCCACAATGCTGTCCTGGGGATCAAACTCAGATCATCAGGCATGTCAACAAGGACTTTTACCCAAAGAGCCATCTCACTGGCCCTCATCTACATTTTCTGGAGACAGACCCTCTTGTGGCCTGAACTTTGAGGAGCAGGCTGGGCTGGTTGGTCTGTTTGCCTCTCTTCACCTCCACGGTACTGGGAATAGAAATGCACACCACCACAATCACATTTTGATGTATGTACGTTCTGGAGATTAAACTAACAGAGGCATCTCCTCGGGCCTAGTGGAAGCTTCTAAAGCAAATTTGCTTTCTTGACTATTATTGCCATGCTGAGATAACTTTCTAAGGAAGTAAATGGCTTGAAAAGTCTCCTAGAATGTTATTGAGTTGCACAGAGAATGTGTTTTGTGATACTAAAAATGCTTAACCTAAAAATCTACAAAGATTATATTATACAAAATGCTACCTGAGCACTTACTATATAACAACTTTCAAATCATCATTCTGTATATTTTTCATTCATTTACATAGCAAATGTAATGCAAAAATACATAAAACATACCTCTGATAAAAATGTTTGGGCCGATTTCTGAGCTCCTACATGGAGCAGATATTCATATACGTAGAGCGCTAACCTGGAAAACAGACGAGACATTCACTGAGAGGAGAAGATTTAAGATGTTTATCCGTATCATTCTACATATAAGACATTTATACACTAGTAGTGAAAATAAGCCTTTGCCCACGCCCTTTCAATGAGAATGTGTCTATATTCAGAAAGAAATTTAATTATACCAATGTGTTGTTTTTTAGAAAAAAATAACTACATATTATTCTTACATCATCTCACTTACTCAAATATTGTTATACTTAATATAATCAATAGTTTAAAAATCAAAAATTAATAATTCCTGAATCCCATTTTAAGGTAAAATTTTCTTTCATTAGTAAAATAAATGAATTTAATTGACTGGCTTTTATTACCTTTGACCTTTTTGGTGGACACTATTGTTAACCCACCTATGTATACATCCAGCTCAAAATGTGTTTCGTATCAATGTTAACATTTGTTTAGAAGTTTCTACCTTCTACTTAATCTTTCATTTGCTTATTAGACCAATCAATACTTTAGTTTAAAAAGCATTCAAATTCACCAGCTAATCGGAGTATCATGCAAACTTCAAAGTTAATATATTAATCATTTGGGGACTTAAAGAGTTTAAAGGTTAACACAAAATTATATATAGATTTATTACTCAAATACAAAATGTAGAGTGTGTCATATATATTTATACTGTTCTCCGTATCTTGTGGATTCAGAATTTTTACACTGTACCATGTGGTTCGATTTCAGTTGATCTGTTAAGATGTTATTCACAAACCCAATGAATTTGAGACAGTATTTTAATGATATATTGGACAGATGCCCAGATATCTCACAACAGTTCAGCTTCCACTGCAGTATATTTACCAATATTGAACCAGGTTTACCGTAAATAATGCAATGTAACAATAACCACAATTCTGTATGGCTACACCACTTTTCTTGCCAAGGGAATTTTGATTATTAAAGATTGATGGCATTTGCCAAAGTGATAATGTTCTTCATTCCCATGAAAACACACCAAGCATCTGTCACAAAAAAGAAAATCCTGTTCAAATTAAGTTGTTCTGTCCATTTAATTGCCTCTCCATTTCAAGTCAACAAATATTTTGCTGAGACCCACTAAGCACCGCCGGTAGACATTCACGAAGTGACTCACAGATGAATGTATGCCAGTGGCAGTGAGTATACAGTACAATTGAGAAGGAAGAGTTCCTCCAGTGAGATGGCACTCTTAGGACCGCATCGCTCCCTTCCCATGCATGCATGATGGACATGGCAGCTTCTTTCAAAAGCCATACCTCACAGTGGAAGTGTGGCTCACCCTGAGCACACCACTGGAAATACAGGCATTGCAATGTGCCTCTGGTTTAAACATACATTGCTGCTAGTAAATCTGAACACCCATTAAGCACACATATCTTGCACACCTTGACTCTCCATAAGCCACACAATCATATGATTCACTGACTATGATGGCAAGTTTTACTTTGAAAAAGGAGAAACAGAACATCTCTCTGGATAGATGTGAAGCCTCAAAACTGCTCGCCTGTGGCCAGATGCCCTACTGCTACATGAGAACAAATATAGCTTCATGTAATCCCTTATGACCTGTAAAGCCCTGGTTCTAAAGCCACCAGTACCCACTAGGAAGGAGATGGGGTCTGTGTCAAAGACTGAAGGCTAGTCTACCAAGTGTGAGGAATATGAAAGAGACAGAATGAAGCAGAGGGACCATGATGGACGTGTGGGGAAGAGGCAGAGTGGCGACAGGGTCCACTGAAGTTTCTCACCAAGTTCCATCCTTTATACTGACCTCTTGCAGATTATTATTTTAAGGTGTGTTACTTTTGTTTATGCTGCATTTGTTAAAGTCTGTGAAGCTGTATTACTGTGCCTGTCTAAAACACTTGATGATCTAATAAAGAGCTGTTTGGTCAATAGCAAGGCAGGAGAAAAGATAGGTGGGGCTGGCAGGCAGAGAGAAGATATAGAAGGAGAAAACTAAGAGGAGAGATCTAACTTCTAACAGTCAGAGAAGGAGGAGGAAGCCAGGGGCCAGCCACCCAGGTACACAGCAAGCCACCGAGTAAGAGTAAGTTACAGAAGTAAGAGAACTGGAAAAGCCCAGAGGCAAAAGGTAGATGGGATAAGTTAAGAAAAGGAAAGCTGGCAAGAAACAAGCCAAGCTAAGGCCAGGCATTCATAAATAAGAATAAGCCTCCATGTGTAATTTATTTGGGAGCTGGGTGGTGGCCCCCAAAGAGCAAAAAAACAAACAACAACACTGATCATGTCCAAAGTTAAATTTGCCTTATCCATCTGCATTTATGGTTCTTGTTTTCAAAATTTTATTTTTAATTTTTAAAAAAATTTGAGTCTCAGTTTTCTGAATCTGCCAAATAGAAGAATATGTTCCTTCCATTATTGACAGATAATTACTATCATAATTTTGGCTGACTAAAATCCAGAGATATATAACCAAGTCATACACCGGATACCAGTGATTCCTGCTCTTGAAGAGCCCACACACAGCAGCAGCAGGGGTTTTTAGCTTTAGATACAGGTATTCTGTACTTTCCAACAGCTCCCCACAATAACAGCACTGAAAACACCAAGATAAGAATATCTGAAAGTTCTTGTCTTAGTTAGGGTTATTTCTGTGATGAAACACCATGACCAAAGCAACTTGGAGGCGGGGAAGGGTTTACTTGGCTAACACTTCCATATCACTGTTTCTCACTGAAGGATGGAAACTCAAACAGGGCAGGGACATGGAGGCAGAAGCTGATGCACAGGCCATGGAGGGGTGCTGCTTACTGGCTTGCTCATCATGACTTGCTCAGTCTGCTTTCTTACATGACCACCAACCCAGGGATGGCACCACCCACAATGGGCTAGGCTCTCCCCCATCAATCACTAATTAAGAAAATGCCCTACAGCTGGATCTTATGGAGTCATTTTCTCAATTGAAGTTCCCTCCTTTCAAATGACTCTAGCCTGTGTCATAAAACTAGCCAGCACAATTCTGGAAGGAAGATTCTACAATAGAAGACACTGTTGTCTGAAGACAAATATTTCAAGAACTAGAGAGTGACATTTCTCCATCTGTGCAGTAAGTCACAATACATGTGGATAAGATCACCCAACATGAGAGCAACACTTAATTTGGATCCAGTTGTCATCAAACAGGATGATTTTAAGAATATTGAAACTACTAATATTTGAAAAGCATAAACTTTTGAATTAACAGTTTCTCTTTCTTTTTATGGTCTTTCAGAAATTTAAGTACTTTTCATAACATACATTTTAAAATGGGTATTTAACCTAATGACATAATAACATTTAAGTATATAAAATAGCAGTGTTGTAGTAAAAGGCCCCTGCAACAGGTAGACCCAGTTTCTTTTCTTCTTGACGCTACTTTGATGAATGAAAAGCCCATCAAAGATTCAAGAGTCAACTATCTTTAATTATGCTTCACTTCATTTTAAGTCAGTGATGACAAACGATTTTGTTTCCATTTTGCTACCTTCTTTTATTTAGCAAGAAAAAGTTATTCAAATAAACAAAGCCTGAAATTTAAAGAATAGTTATTTATAATTTTTAAACTATTTTGGTTATACATTATACATTCATAACTAGGTAGAGGCCATGTAGAAATACAGCTTCAGAAAAAAAACTGCCTCTAATTTCATACAATTAGCCTACCATGATCATATTGACTGTGTTTATCCACGTCCAGTACCTTAAGAATATGTATCCAGCAAATACCTATGAATGTGTGACTCTCTTAGATCAGTCATAGATATGGCACTTAAGGAATCACTGGGTTTCACCCTCTCAAGGCATTCAGGGACAGAAATGTAAGATTTTCTCTTAGGTACCAATTCTAGCAGAGCATCTCCTCAGAACACTTAAGATTTGGTTTCTTTGCTATGCACACTGGTTACAGGACATGAAGAAAGCAAGTTGACACTGACCAAGAAAATTTCCATCCTAGTGGCTAGTTTTCATAGTACTAGAGAAGGTGCTCTTCAGGACAGTAGGAGAAAAGTCATTAGTCTCACCCAGTTGGGAACTCTGGGAACTACAATAATGACCCACTGGCACAACATGCACATGGGTGCAATGGTGGCACACATCAAGAAGGCAGTCAACTACTTTCTAATTGGACTGAAGGCCCATCCCACCTACGAAACACATACCTGGTACTGTAACTGAGCCTAAGAACTTGTAGTTGGTGAGGCATACAGGTCCCAGGGACGGATCTACTAATATTTCTCTGCTCAATGGGCACAGTATCAAACTGCCCTGTGAATCTGTATCTCTCAACCCATAGATTGTTCAGGCCCCAGGCTCCATCAGAGATTTTTCTTTGTGTAATGGAGCTGGTTAATGTGGAAACTCACAAGTTAAAGTACAGCAAATACATGTCAGTGACATGCTCACCCACAAATGGAGCATCTGCATCACATCCCCTACCCAAGTCTCAGGAACCACTGTGAAAGAGGGGACAGAAAATTGTATGAGCAGAGACTAGGGAGAGCCACAGTGAACAATGTCTTCTAGGAACAGCAGAAGTACTTCCCTCATGAGCTCACGGCAACTGTGGCCGCCTTCACAAGACTAACCAGTCAGCGTTCTAGCATGGGGCAGGGGTTCACAAAGCCTATCCCTGAGGATCCATGAATAGCTGATGGCTTCTGGGGAGGGAATCAGTTTTCTTTAATGGTGTGGCCCTTGGTAGCTCAATCACATTCCAGCGGATGACCCTAAATCCATGCATATATGGATAGCTCAAGTGAAGCTGATGGCTACTGGGAGAGAGGGAGAGAGAGACAGAGAGAGGGAGGGAGGGAGAGAGGAAAAGAGGGGGAAAGAGAGAGGGAGAGAGAACACAAAGTTATGAGAGAGGCAGAGGTAGATTTGGGAAGTGTTGGGGGAGGAGATGGGGCAAATATGACTATAATACACCGAATAAAAGCTCAGCATTGATTAAAAATAGTTTAATATTTGCTTTCAGTAGAT